ACTGCCTTTCACAGTCCAGTCAGTTGACAGTGATTGCCCCAAACGTAGCTTTATTAATTCCCACTTTCTCTATTAAAGCAAAGATATCATTCATTCAAATGCAATAATACATCATCCTGATTTAAAATTGGAAATAAAGAGTCAAATTAAAGATTTCGAATCAAACGGTTTTTGATTTTACAATCGTGATTAGTTAAGAGTGCCATTTTCTTAAAAAAGCCTCCAAATTTTTTAATAAAAATTGCCATTTAGGACGACGTTTTATTCTTTAATACTTTTAGAGTACTATTGTAGATTTACTACAAGAAAACAAAAATTAAGAAAAGGTCTAAAAAATCTACTTTTGGCTGCGATAGATGACAGGTGGCAAGTCCGAATAGATGTGTCAGTATGTGACAAGTACGAATCGTCAGGTGGCAAGAGTATGAAGCACGTTTCAGACTGCAGAAAATAGAAAACTAATACGAGACAGTCTGTTCCATTTGTAACTTCACTAGTTTTAGAGTGAGTAATTAAATCAATGATTTCCGAAAATGTATCCGTTCTTTTTCCGCGGCTGGAATCGTTTGATTTTTAGCCGCTGATATTATATACACAGAAGGAATTTTCTTGTAGATTGGGTGTGATTTGGGTGAGAGTGAAACAAAAAAATGCATATACAAATTAAGAAATAGTTTTAATCACAAACATTGGTCCTAGAATGGAGCTTACAATTGGAAAAAATTGCTTTTGAATGAAAACATAAGAATAAATATATTTTCTGTTATTTAATGGGTTAATGTTACACATTTGTATTTACAAATATACATCTCAGAATGAAGAGGTATAGATTTATGACGGGACAATAAAGTTTTGACATTTACATACATTTCCAATGTAGTAATATGTCATGTGTAATATGTTTTGTAGATTGTTTCAAAACACGCATCGTTGTAAATCAAATTAATTATTAATACAATTTTTAAATTCTGCAATTTTCTAGTTAATACTGAAATAACATTATTTAACGCTTTTTACAGTAATTCACGTAATGTAAATATTTACAATAATCAACGATCAAGTGTTGAAGTAATTAACTACGGCTGGTCAAACTACAACTTAAAAGTTTCAAAAACCTATAAATAGCTGCCTTCCAAACAAACGAGTATCTCGTACTAAATTTGACCCAACAATCGTTTTACCCTAAAGTAATCATCTCCATTAATCATTATTTTTATTTATCTCTGGCCTATAAATTAATTTAATTTATAGGCCAGAAATCACTGTTCACTCGAAAAATCACTATTCAAATATTTATTTCCCATGAGCAGGTTTAATGCAGCTATTGATAAGGTCAACTAATTAGTAATTTTAACTAATCAAGTACTCGCCGATTGTTTATGTTTTTGTATAATATTTTAAATGTACATAAAAATGTATAATAAGAATATCACATACATAAATGTATTTTTACTTTCAATTTATAATTTGTTATCATACATTTATAATAGTTATTTGATAATAATGTAATTTGTTAATTTTTTTCCTTTAAATTGAAGAAATATTTCTGGTCATATCGAGCGTGCGTCTAAGGACCCCTTTCGACGTGGACTCAGCTGCGCGCTTCCGATAAGCGGCCAGGTACTTCTCGCAGGGCCACCGTCGCAAGCCATCGTCGTATCGCCGCACGCCGTCGAAGATGGCGGGTTCGACGGGGGTAGGTTTTGCCGTGTCTTTGGCGACGACAAACAAAGAAATGCAGCAGTTAAAACGCTACGGCAATTGTCCCAGCGGAAGATCTCCATTTAAACCAATACTTTGCCCGTGGTGGCGCGGAATTCCTCCAGGGCTGCTCGTGGCAAGCGTCCGCCTCCGAAAGACACAGCAGCACGAATCCGCCGCACGTGGGATGAGCTCCGTTTAAACCAATGCTTTACTACCAGCCGCCGTGTTCGGAAGCGCTCTGCTGGGTTTACATTTTCACACGTCGCCACAGCTGCGCGCTTCCGAACGCCGCGGCTCGTAGAAAAGGATTGGTTTAAACGGAGCGCTAATCACGTGCGGTGGGCTCGCGCTTCTGCGACGTTCCACGCTGGACCCTCGCTACGAGAAGTGCCGGTGGGCGTACGCGCCACCGCAATCAGAAAACTGCTTGAAATGATGATATTCTCACTGCGCCGCCGGTCGCAGCGATTTAACTGCTGCTGTGCCTTTGTGCGTCGTCGTCAGAGGGTCGGCGAAACCAACCTCTGCAGAACCCGCGCCCTTCCACGGCGAGCGGCGAAGAGCCTTGCCGCTTATCGGAAGCGCGCCGCTGCGGCGACGCGTGAAGGCGCCCATAGCAACGCGTATCCCCCGCACGTGGGAAGAGGACCATTTAAACCAATGCTTTACTACGAGCCGCGGTGTTCGCAAGCGCGCTACTGAGTCTACACTTTGACACGTCGCCAAAGCAGCACCCCTACTATGCTAGCTACGTGAGAAGGGGACCTAATAGTAAAGACGGCGGTGCGCGGCGTTCCCACCTTCCAGTCATGAGGACGCGGGGGCGGGGCCCTCTGCGAACGTCGGCCGCTCGCCGTCCCGGAGCAGCACCAGCCGCTCGCTCTTCTCCCACACGGCGCGCGCCAGGCCCCTGTCGCACGCCGCTCGCCCCATGCGCCTCTCCTGCGGATGCATTCAGTAGTCACTGCTATTGCTGCGGTCGTTCGTTCCGTAAGTGTAGTGTATGCTTTTATCGCGGGAGGCGGCGGTGATCTTTTCTCGCTGGATGGTGAGATCCGGCGCCGGCCTACCCAACGACTTGTGGTGTTTCCCTCCTCCAGGTATCTCCACCCAGTGAGGCACCGCCCCAGTCGGGACAAGCTCTAAGCTCCCGGCTGGTCTCCGGACAAGTACTGTGTGCGTGTGAGGGATGAGGATAGAAGAAGGAATGAAATATCGGCCGTGGCCCGTTTGTTGGGGAATGCTCCGGCATTTGCCTTGTGTCGATGGGAGAACCCACCTATTAGAGCAGACGGCCTGTAGAATTATCTTCCAAATAGCGGCTGAATTATACCTAGCTATGAAGTTAGTGTCGAAAATCCTGCCGATGTCGGTAATCGAATCCTAGTACCTCACGGTCAGAGGCAGTGCAGTGACGCCAGCCACAACGGAGCAGGGGCGACAGACTTTGAAGAGGTGAACCGAACCGCTGATTTTGATAACAAACTCTCGACCTACTCACGCGTTCACGTAAGCAAAAGAAAAGCACAAGAAAAGTAAAAGTTTTCGTTTGCTGTGAAATGAACGTTAATGGACACTTGATTATCCATGAAAAAAGAAAATAATTTCACAGGTCTCTAATATAATTTTTACAACGATATCAATGTTGTCAATAAATGTTAAATTAACAGTTTTTGCACAAACGTTTTCCACAGCGCTATAGGAGCTTCAAATATGGCCGATGACTTGGTTTTTTTACTCGCAGATAATTCTTGAGAGGAGAAATCATTTCAAAATATCCTGAAATGACGGAAGCTAATTCTGACATCCACTGTTATTTGTCTTCCTATCCCGTCTTGGACCTCCGAATCTCCTACCACCGTCCTATCTCCCTCTAAGAAATGTCCTCAGCGTGGCCGTCCTGCATTTTTTCACCGCCTACGTGGGGAGTTTTATTTACCCAGCCCGTCTCCCTAAGTAACACGGGCAGGATAAAATCATTAAGAGATCCGTGGATCGGAACACACACACACACATGCAAATAAACAGACGTGAGTCGGACCTGGCTCACTACGTCTCTACTTTGTATGGATTCTTCACTTTCGTCCAACTACACACAGAATTTACGTTCAAGGTAGGTTCCTCGACTTTGTGATGGCTGTAAAAGACAATTTTCTCACCGAGGGAGATATGAAGGAGGGGCAAGAAAAGAGTGAAAGGGGTGGATATAATAGCACAATAGGAATATTAGCGCAAAAGAAAAGAAAAAAACAGAATCACGAAAAAATCACTAAGTTTGTATTTGTATTTATGGCTTTAAAATTAAACTTGAAATAATGTGTATGTTTTGTACTTTTAAAGATGCGTTAAAATAAATTATTTTTACTTAATCGATTTATCGATTATCCTCATGGTTGTTAGCTTTATTTCCCAAATTTATTAGGTTCGTTGAGAAGTCTTTAAAATATCATTCTCGTAAACTATCCAAAACGCAATCACTGTTCTCTAATGAAATTCGCAGTTTCATTGATTTTTAGTAAACAATTTCATCGACATGAATTAATTTTGTACTTATCATATTCTCTTACCCTACAGTCGGAGAAGTATCTTCCTGTAACACCTTCCACTTCTTCAGACACGGCCAAATGGATGCTTGTCTGCGCGCCTTCTTCTACAGACTGCGAATAGAAATTCAACTTCAGCTTTCAGTTGATTAATAATCGTGCAATATTTCCTTCGAATACTACTTTTATCTTAAAAAAATATTCAGAGGTTTAGTAACATGAGTCTTCTGGTTTTGAAAATAATATACTTCATATTTTACATACTTTTTAGAGGCATAAAGAATAGATCACATTCATTGTTTAAATCTATTTCACGGATCGATGTTAAATCGACACACTTCACAACCCTAAACCAAGGCATAAAAGTATAGCATCAAAATGTTTCTATCATCTATTTCATCTGGTCTAAAACAATGTTTTGTGATGTAGTTGTTTTTCAAACAAACGTATTTGAGATTCCTGATCGGTAAACGATCGATGCCGACGATACAGAGTAGACACCAGACGTTTTGATAGTTCTGCGTTTGAAACTTATTTTGGTATTTAACAAGTTGTGTTACCAACCAATTATTTCGCGTCTAAAAATATTTTATCAAATTTTGATCAATTTTACACAGCCTACTGAGATATATAAATATTTAGAAATAGAAAAAACAATCAGTAAAAAAAGTTTGTTCTAACTGTTGAGATGACTCTCATTCTGCTTTATTTTGTTACTCTGAGTATGAAGTATTATTGTTATTATCTTACCTTAAAAAATCCGTAAATAAAGTGACCGATTTTACTAAATCCGTAGGGCAAATTTCGGAGGATATCAGTCTGAACAACACCGGGATGTAAACAGTTCACTGTCACACCTGTGGAAAGACAATTCTCTCTTAACTCTGATAAGGGAAAATACAATGAAGAGCCCAAAAATTTATAAACAATACCGACGGACGTGGGCAATTCCAGCAGGACAATGCGACAGCCCACACATCTAGAATTGCTACAGAGTGGCTCCAGAAATACTCTTCTGAATATAAACACTTCTACTGGCCACCAAAATCCCAAGATATGAACATTATTGAGCATATCTGGGATGCCTTGCAACGTGCTGTTCAGAAGAGATCTCCATTTCCTCGTACTCTTACGAGTTTATGATCAGCCCTGCATGATTCATGGTGCCAATTACCTCCAGCACTACATCAGACAGTAGTTGAGTCTATGCCACGTAGTGTTGCAGCACTTCTGCGTGCTCGCAGGAGCTCTACACGATATTATGCACATAAAATAAATTCCAAAAACTGGAAAGAGTCACTCCAGAACTGAATGCAGCTCATCCCATGTTACGAGTAAATATAATCTAATATTTTTATTCGCAAAATGTATGCCATATTTACGTTATATTTTGATGAGCAATATTGAAACGAAAATAATGATAATAAAACAGAGAAACATTTAACAAAGTTTGAAATGAGTCGAGATGACAAAGAAGAGATTTTTGTAAACTAAAAAAAAATTCACGGAGAAGAAACACTTTTCCTTCGTGGTCATCTACCGGAACTTACCTGTACCGTTTAACCGTCGTGCCAGCTCATTAGACACGAGCACATTTGCCAGCTTGGTCTTTCCGTAAATTGAAATGTCGTTCATGTTCTTGGCCACCTCATGGTCAAGTTCCTCCGCTGACAGCTTTGAAAACTCGTGCGCTAAAGAAGTCACGAAAATGATCCTGGAGGGCGCAGACTTCTTGAGCAACTCAACCAACAGCAGTGTGAAAAGAAAGGGTCCGAAGTGGTTCACCTAAACAGGAAACATTTTTTACAGAATGTTCAGAATAATGTTATGAAGTTTTAAAGCATGTATGGTCACATTTTGAAAATAAAAATTTGGTGAGAAATTTCACAAAACGAAATTATAAAGTGAGATTTGCCAATGATTGTCTGGGAACTGAACTTGTGCCTCAGTTTGTCAGGTAAACGAAATGTCTAACTTAATTTTTATGTGTATGTGTGGTTGGCAACAGGCTAATGACATGCGTTCTTTGAGCATAGCAGGCCAGAGCAAGAATACATTGTAAGTAGACCTCATTTCTATTAATTTCTAAGCGATTGTGTTAAATATCCAAGCAATGAAGGGTACTTCAAAATGTAATAATTAATTTATATCATTGATGTCATAAACTAGTGTATCCACCCTCTTCCCTATTCTTCCATTTACAAATTAAGCCCATAATATGTTTTTTTCAAAACCCTTATCCTCCGTCACTTGTTCAATACATATCCTTGTAATTATACTAAGTAAACGTATTTTACATTACAGTACAGTACATCCTTGTCAATACAAATTATTCTTACTTAAACCAATATTTAAATGACATTATTCTTATTTTTTTATCACCCGAGCCAAAAGTACTCCCATGCAGTTCAATGACAGAGAATATCAAGAAATTAGTTTAATTTTACACACAGTTACAGATTCTGCACGTTTCTAAACAGGTGGGGTAGAATTGAGCAGCGACGAATCAGTAAAAGTGTAATAGAATAGGCAAGATGATGTCATCCTATAGATCACGATGTGATGAATGTTTTTTGAGACCTTTGGCCTCGATATTTAATATTTTAAGAGCCTAGAACATTTCTGTTTCTGAATTCTAGCCAAGTATACCTATATGTATTTCAACAACGCTGACCGTGTGTTGCGGGTTGTATTTGGCATGAGTATTTAGATGCGCTTTTATTCAACAGATCCTTCTTATTTTTGAATCATAGTGCAATTCTGCATTAAATTTTCTTTTGATATATTATTTATAAAGATTGCCAGTGAGAGCCGAAAAGCTCATCTATACATAGAAGAGCGGATGAATTGAATCGAAAAATATTTTCGGAGGGCGCTGACCTGGAGGCCGCGGTGGAGGCCGTCTGGGGTCTTGTCACCGCCGATGGCGCCCGCTCCAGCGTTGTTGATGAGGACGTCGAGCCGCGGCTCGGACTCCCACACCTCGGCCGCACACGCCCGCACCGACTGCAGGTCGCTCAGGTCCAGCGCCAGGAGCGCCACTGTCGCGCCCCCGGTTGCCTCCGCGCGGATCTTGGCTGCACAGAGCTCCTTGGTCACTCGGTCGGTCGGTCGGTCGGTCGGTCGGTCGGTCGGTCGGTCGGTCGGTCGGTCGGTCCGTCGATTGGTCCATCGGTCGGTCGGTTGTTAGAGATTCTGGGCGTGTCAACTACTGAGGTCATTAATCCCGTAAGTGTAGTGCACATGTTTTCCCTCGGGAAGGGGTGGTTATCTGCCTCCGCTGGATGGAGAGATCCAGCGCTTACCTACCGTCGGCTAGCATGGTTTCTCTCAACCAGGTATCTCCTACCATCATTGAACCTTCTCATCCGGGAGAAGGTCGAAATTCCCGACCAGTCTCCCGGCATGTGTGGTAGTGTTTTGCATGTTCGTGTAAGGGGTGAAGATAGGTCTAGGAAGAGAAAGGAAAGATCGCGCGCGGTCCTTGGCCCGTTTTGGTAGGGTATTGCTCCGGTATTGATCGGAGAAATCATGAAAAACTACCGATGCGAGCAGCCGGCTTCACAATATTGCATGAACTGAGTGGTTTCAAGAGTAGTGGCGGTTAAGCCATAGTGATGCCCACCGCCACTTCCGCCTGCGGCGACGTTCCGTCTCCGCGCGACACGGCGTGGCCCGGGAGAACGGTGGCAGCGGCTGGGGCAGAGGGGCGGCGTGCGCCCCCTAACTTTTCCGTCCCCCCCCCCTCCTCTGACACCGGGAGCGGGTGAGGCCGGATGGACCCCACTTACGGGGAGACCGGTGTTCGTTTCGGAAGATTGGGTTGCGTGCTTTGTATTGACTGTTTTGGCCCTGTTGTAGTCTTGTTTCTCTTCTGGGCCTTGGTTTGAACCGAGCTTCGTTTTGGTACATCCACTGGTTATCGGCGATCTGATTTGTAACGGTACGATTTTGGAGACTGGACACAATAAATGTACTTGACTTTGCGTGTTTGAGTTTATCAGTCTTTCCCGGTTACAGCATCGAGTATCGTTAATTTCTCCCGATGGGCTTTCCCACAGTTCATGAATTCGCAGTGGAACGCTTACTTACCGAGCGCCCGCTGGCCGCGCTCTGCGTCTCTGCACGCGATGAGCACGCGCGCGCCCCGACGCGCCATCTCGCGAGCCGTCTCCAAACCAATGCCTGCAACACGCACGCGCATCCCACGATCATATTTTAAGGGCGAAAAAATCCTTCGTACGCGTTCCTTCGGAAGAAAAGTAAAGCCGGCTGTCCCATGTTAGTAGATTTATTTGCATGTAAAATATCCTCAAGCCTAAATGACGTCTCTGAGCTAAATTGAAATCACCTGTTTCTCTCTCAAGAAATACCTCCTTTTTGTGAAAGGAGCGTAGCGAAATTTGCGTAGTCAGATGGTAGATTGCCTAAGTCTCGCCACGTAAAATAAGGCATTAATTCAATTCAATTCAATTGATCCCATATGCCCGATCCAGCTTACGGCATCGGGTCGCGCCGTCAAGTGGTGAAAATCACCGCCGCCACCACCACCACCACCAGCGATAAAATATGCACTATTTTTACGGAAATAATTATCGGAAAACACGAATCAAGCAATAAAGCAATCAATTATCATCTCTGTCATTTTACATTAATTCTTTTCCCCCTAAAAACTATTCGTATAACTATAGTTTGGGCTTGAAGCTTAATTTCATGTTCTATGTGCATATCACCTTGCCATCTGCAATACAATCCTGAAAATATACCACTTCATTTGCTTTAACGAGCGAGTTATGAAGGTATGGATTCAGAAGCATCATAAAATCCACATAAAGTTTGTGTTTATCAATTTCAAATAATATTTATTTAAAATTTTTGGGAGCAGATTATATTTAGAAAATGTAGAATGTCCATTCAAATCCAAGCTACAGTTACATGAATAGATTTTAGGGGGAAAAGCATTAATACAAAATGACCGAGGTGAGAATTCATTGATTACTGTGTCCGTGTGTGCCAACAGCTAAGGCAATTAGTCTCGTAAGTATAGTGCATGTTTTTGATCGCGTGATCTTTTTCCTTTAAAGACGTGATCTGACGCCGACCAACCCGTTGGCTTGTAGAGTACCTCCAACTGTCTGTTTAATAAACAAATACTCCACTCGTCAGGGATGTATTTATTATATTTCCCTATCCATCCAGCCATTTGTCTTTGAGCTCCCTTAAAAGTTTCTGTATTGTCACTGTGAGAAACTATAGACTTGCCTCTGCAGGCGATGAATCTTCTCACAGCTAATACACATTGTCTACTCTTGCTGAAATAAGTTTTCGGTGAACTGCCCGAATAGCGAAACCGTTTAAAAGTAAAATGTACCCATTATCAGTGTTCTGAGAGCAAAAATTAAGTTTGGCAAGATAGGGGCCGGCGTAATCTAAGCCTGTATGTAAAAAAGGATATAAATCTCCACACGTCCAGAAACCATAATCTGTCCATCAGTAGCTGGTTTAACTCTGAAACAAGTTACTTATCCATGAATAGCACTCTTTACTGCTCTGAGGCCTTTGAATGGCCAAAATAGAGTTAGAAGCAAAGCTAGCAAAGCAGATGGACCTGAATGATAATGTCTAAGATGCAAAGATTTTATAATAACTTTGGTAACAGGATGCTTAAAGGGGAAAATGATTGGATATTTTTGATCGAAATCAAGAGAAGAGAGTTATTGTCGCCTACCCATACGTTAAAAACCGTTTTCATCTAGAAATGGATTAAGAGGCTACAAATAACTTTTGTTGTCTACAAACTTTGAGACGAGGAGTAATCTGTTTCAGAATGAAAAGAAAAAAGCTGGATAGATCTAAGCATTTGAATTGTCACTTCTAAAATTTCAGGAGCTGAAAGAGTAACTACACTAGAATGACAATGCTTCTCTTTTGAATGGTTTTTAAGACAAGTATGAAAACGATAAATCAATGCTACAGTTCTGAGAAGTTTTCCCGCAACCAGGTATCTCCCACAAACGGGGTGACCACCCCCACTAATACAAGCTCTAAGCTCTCAAATAATCTCCCGGCATGTGTGGTAGTTCAGGGCATGTAAGTGTACGTAAGGCGTGAAGATAGGACTAGGAAGGAGAAGGGAAGATCGCGCGCGGTCCGGGACCCGTTTGTTAGCGTGCTGATCCAGCATTCGCCTGGTGTTGATCGAAGAAACCACGGAAAACCGGAGCAACCGGTCGAAAATCTATTTTTCGGCATCAAAGGATTCCAAAATGTGAATTTTTGTTAAAATCTCGAATTTGATTTTCCGCATCATTATAACTTTCTCTAAACTAAGTACAGTATAGTAGTTTGTACGTAGAAGAGAAAGTAAAAATGAATTTATCTCGCATTTGGACTTTTTTCGAGTCATGCTCGTGCCAAGCATACGATGCTATATGACCTCACCATACTTAACACGCGCCTTAACTAGCACGCTTCCTATGCATATGCTAACTACCGGCTCGACCTTTGCGAGCTACAAAATACTATGCAGTCATTCGCGTTCCGCCGTATGAAGCTGCTTTTCTAAAGCATATCTATGTTAGATATAGGCAGCCGTTAGATAGGTTTAAAGACGGATCATTAAAATAACTTCATTGAGAATAAAACACGGAACATAATGTAGAGAAAGAAAGCACGTTCAATGTATACATCTACCACTTTTCTCACAGTGTCACAGTGTTTAACTGTTTTTGTAGCTTAATAAAGAATTGTATAGCATTGCGAAGCACTTTTTTATTGGACTGAACTTTTTTCAAAATACAGCTAATGACCTACAACATTATTTCCATTTATTTGTTTTATTTTAGTTATTGTAGTCTTGTAGTGCTGTGAGTGAAATTCCTTATTCTTACATTGCTTTTTTCTATTTAGTATGTTGATCAGTTATTTAGATGTTGTATTTGAGTTTCAATCAATTAATTTTTATACTATCCAGTTCATTTAATACTTACTCTCTTTTATTATATTGAGTTATTTTAAAGTTTGACTGGCTCAATACAGGACATCTGGACTTGTTCTTGGGTAAAAATCACATACATTCATACACTTCAATGGAAATAAACTTTTTATTAAAATCCTTCCACTCTTTTGTTTTTGAAACTTTCAAACATTATTAACACGAGACTCACTGATACATTGTTAGGACTTCCATTTTAAATGTGAAATTAACGCAACTTTTTATCTAGAGGTCACGTTTAAAGCTATATTTTTATTCTCACACTCGTCAATTCCATTACTCGAAAACTTTGACGTCTTATTTCTATTAGTTGCACACTGAGTTCACGCTCGTTTACGGATGAGAGATTTCATTCTAAGGAAAGACGAGACTGAAGGATACTCACATAACAAAAAAGACTTCCACAACAGAGAGTGTGACCGTGACAGACGGGAACAACAATAAGCTGTATGAATTCTATCAATGGAGAGTGAACTGATTTATAGTTTCAAAAGTTGGTTGTTCTGACCGGAAGTAGGTTCAGGCGCCACATTGAAAATTAAGTCCTTACCGTTACATGAATTAAATAATACCGAGCTGCAAAGATCATTGGCCGCATTTTCGAGGCTGTCGTGTTCAGGGAACGGCATTGGCCTGTGCAGAACAAAAGTGGCACCAAGGAAAATAAAACTCCTTTTTTAATGTTGGAAATTTCTAGTGTAGTAGTTAATGAGTATGAGATAAATTAATCTATCTTTGTGTCAAATATTTTTTTGGTATTTACATTGGTAAACATGCGCTTAGCCACTTAGCAACGAACCATCTAAACAAAGCGTTGAGAGCGCGACTACAGCAACGGCCATTAAAATTCTCGAGAGTCCATTACAAATATTTTAGCGGACTTTCGGGTTTAGATTTTATCACTGCTCAAAAATCTTGGGATAAATATGACGATGACTCAAAACACACAAATTGTTGCACAGTCCGCCCGCGATCTTTCCTACATCTTTCTTTCCCCACCTCTTAATTACACATACACACTCACTAACTCACATGCTCTACACTACCGCACTTGCCGGAAGACTGGAGCTTGATCCGGCTGGGGCGGTGCCCGGCTGATGGGAGATACCTGGCCGAGGAAAACTCCGCTAGCAGACGCCGAAACTCGTCATACCACGGGGGAAGTCCTACGCCACCTCCCGAGCAAACCATGCACTGCACTTACGGGATTGATGATCCTGGTATTTGACGCGCCCAGAATCACTAACAATCAACCGAAATACCTTATTTTACGGAGCGAGATTTGGGCCATCAGGCCCGCTGACCACATAAATTTCACTACGCTCCTTTCACCAACTAGCGGAGAAAGGAGTATTTCTTGGACGACGAAACAGGAGATTTGAATTTAGCTCAGAGGCGTCATTTAGGCTTAAGGACCTTTTACATGCAAATAATCTACTAAAATGAGTCGGCGTTACTTCCCCTCCGAAGGAACACGTACGAAGGATTTTTTCGCCCTTAAAAATCCACGGCTTTGATTGCGTTTGAACCGGCCAACTTGGGTATAACAGTCCGATGCGGTAACCGTTACACGATCGAAGGGAGTGCCTGGAAGTGCCTGATTTTGAATCCGCGCCGTCGCCACAAGCATTCACCTGTGTTGGCCCCAGTGATGAGGACGGTCTTGCCGTCAAGGCGGCGAGTGGACGTGCAGACGCCGGTGGTGAGCTTGTACCAGAAGCGACAGGCCGCCGCTGCGGTGACTACCAGTAGCACCCACCGACGAAGGAACAGAGCCAGGACGAACGCCAACACACTCATGGCAGCGTCGAACGCGCACTAACCGAATTCACCAACGCTCTGTGGCACGCTTCAGACGATGTGGAGGACGTTCTCAAACAATAGGCGTGGAATGACTCGACAAGACAACTTTCCTCACCTTCACTCGCAACCTGCATATGCAGTGTTCACCATATGCACTGTTTTTATGACAATCACTTTTTTGTTAAATAGCACAACGATTCGTAACCTGATTGGTTACATCATCACGTTACTAACTAGTGGGGCTGCAACAGCGCGTGTTTTGTCGCGATATTTCTAATAACTATGTAATATTATAATATATCAATATTTCTCATGTACTTCAATTACCATTTGAATTACTGCACCAATTTCACGGTCGTCCCTAGTTATTCCCTTGGTGATTTTATCTTTGTATTTCCCAGTGACTCTATAATTAAGATTATTCCGATGTTTTTTCATTAGTTAATTTTTGTTTCATTTATTCTCCTTCATGTTCCCACAATTAAAAAATCTGATTACCTTTTTATAACAATTTTAGTTCCAATACGCTTGGTAACACAGTTAATATTCAGTGCACATCGCGTTCTTAAGTATATTTCCTGTAACTAAAGCAAGTACAGCGCCTCCTGCGTGTGACCAAGTCTCTCCCGCACAATTGACAAGGCCGTCCAGACACATATTTTGGCCAGCGGCATGTTCTGGTTAACTCACCTCGCCTCCACCAACCTGCAGAGACACTCTGCTATGTAGAGGCGCCGGCTTGACTAATCGAACTCTTTGATTAGCCGATTCAGCGATAGAATCCGCCGCACCCTAAAGTGTGCTTCACATTTTTTCTGTGATGCTTCGTGTTCAGGCGGCGAAATAGTCGAAGAAAGGTTGTGAGATCATTTTAATAGAAACTGCAACGGAATATCACGTCTTCTATCAGTAGTTTTTGTCAGACAAGAGTGTTCTGGAAAAGAGACGATACACAATTCACAAAGATTGTTACTTGGAGAAAGAATAAACGAGTATTGAAGAAGTTGTCACAGTTACCTCTGCCCAAACGAAATTAAACCTTTCCTTATGCATTCCGTGGCATTTTGCTTCGTGTTTCTACTGCATCCAGTGCCTGGCACACCCTGGATCGAACCTTGAAGACGTTCAAAACGCTATTACTCAGCTTTCGGTAATAGCTTGTGGTGACAATGCGAGCAGGCGTCTTATCTCAAAAATCGGTGATTCCAGGTATTTCGACAAAGCCAATTTAACGCGGGGCTGGCCAGGAGCTTGTGCAATCTTTCGGTGACACTCCGAACTAATAGAAAGCAGTTGACAATCGACTTCAAGGAACTTTGTACGAAGAAATGAATGTTTGATCAACAGAAACGAAATTTGCGCGGCTTTTTGGGGGAAAATTGAGAAAATTATATCTCCGAGGGGCCAAGTTTAAAATGTATAATCCTTTCCTCTGAAACGCCTTCAAAGAACGCTCTGTTGAAAAATGCTTTGTTGAAAAAACAAGGCGCCAAATTTAAAGTAATTTAGCCGGCCTACAGTTCGATTGCTGAACATATTACTAGGGAGGTTCTGAGTCCCCTTCCGCCCCTCCCTATTGGTCTGCAGAGCCCTCCAGCTGTTCGGTCTGTTGAGAAGTCGGGCTGTCCGGTGGCATGGTCCCCTGAAAAATAGACATCTCTCTGAATTCTCTTAATACTGTATCTCAAAATTGGTGCTGAGACATCATTCTATGGCTGTCTAGAGCTGCTGCATTGAATCTAGGTATAAGCTGTCCTTGATATCTGACGACTATTTTACCATTCGTTCTCATCCAATAAAAACTTGATCTCCTGACCTCCTGTACCAAGCCCGGGATCCCCGCCGGATCTTTTTTAAGAGACATGCAAGGCACTACGTCCTACGCTGAATTTAGGTGCCCCCTTGGGATGTGTAAACGTTTCCTGGATGAGGTGCTTTGGAATACGTTTTACTCCAATATCTGCAAGAGGGAACGTGGTAAAACAGTCTTATTTGTTGAATAAAGGTGGTCAAACTAAAGCACATTTTGGTATTTTTTATATTTTAGTCAAAACCTTGTAGTTTCGTAAATATTGTCCGAAACAACCTTTTGCTCTAATTTGTGAACGGGCTGGTATAACTTTCATACATGGTGGGCAAACGTCGTCAAATAATAGACAAACGAACGCAAATGATAATTTTCTTAATTTCAACGTATTTTTTGGTATTTCGGCGAATTTACAAAATATCGTTGTAAGTCCTGAACTACACGTAGTATACAATTGGTAAGTGATGTACAATCGATTTCCAAAGAAGAACATGCACTGGAAGTAGTAAAATATCAAAATTTCCGTGTATTTTGATGTACTTTTCCGAATATATTACATTATTACAAGCATTATGAATGGACAATATAAACAGAATTGAAAAGAAACAAATGAAATTACTACCGCACATTTGCCCAGGTAAAACAGGGCCCAGGTAAAACAGTGTAATGGTTATGATACAAGGGGGGAAAGTGCCATTTTATTTTACGCATAGGAAAGGTAGCGCTACTAGGCCAAAAAGTCAGGTGCCCCATTTCTACAGGCAAAATAAAATCACTTTCACCATGCTTTTTAAGTGGTATTACTGCCTTTCATTTTATTTTAATCCAAGAATACGAATTACTTCATTATATACTGTTGCATTAAGATCAGTAGTATCTGATTAGGACACATGAACGTATTTTGTTTTCTTTGTTGCTTTCAAAGTTTTATCAGAACATTTGAGCATTGTCCCATTTTAGCAGTAGTGCAAAAAAATGAGCTTTTAGCATGCTCTGCATGCCTTGAAAGATCTGCTTTTACTAGTTGAAACCTAAAAATGTTTTTCGTTAGTCAATAAATATTTGACAAAATAATTTTATTTACCCATGCTAATTTTACACATGCAGTTCAAAGCCTGGCGTTTTTAAAATGGGATCCACTGTGAAAGTACATTCACTTTTAAAACAATGATTTACAAGTGGAATTCCATCAATGGTTATGCAATGCAATGCTTATTAATTTTATCATTAAATTTAATTTAATTGTAACTTTCCAAATCAGATGTGGGAAATACAGTTTATATAATGGATCTGTATCCAATGACAGAATACACACTTCTTTTAAAACTCTTCTTGTTCGTACCATTACAAACTGTCAGCGTAAAAGAGATATGTACAGAAACTTTGTGCAAAATGAAGCAAGTCATTCACTGCACATAACAAAAATTCTTTAAAATTATCTCTCTGAGTTCTGACTCCTCAAAGAGAATATTAGTTTAAAGCCACTTATGGTCAAACTCGTAGGGTTTACATGCTTCAGAAGCCATCTCTGGAAGAGGATCTGGAAAAAATGCCATTAAGAAAGATACTATGCCCTCAAATGAATGTTCTGAAAACAAATCTGTATCAAAAAGAAAGGGGTTTATTTTAATTCACCATCTAGAATTACGAAATTAGAAAGCACAGGAATATCTTGCACTTCTGAATGGCTTCTTGAGCCTGTTCAGAAGTACAAAGACCTGTAATCACAAAAAAGTTTTTTTATATACTACAATTTACCCACAATTGACACTAATAACTGTATATTGAAAGGAACATACCATGAGAAAAATCCATAAAAAACATGAGGTGACACCTCACATGGGTGAAAAAGATCTGAAAATGGAGACAAACTTTCAATCTATCCCATCTTAAATAAATGCAACAAAGTAATAATTGAGATTCTCAAAGGTTATAGCAAATATTTACCTTTCACAGGGCTAGCATAAGCATCTGCTGCACTTGCTGTAGCAGCATGTTCAACAGCACTAGAGCCTGCATTATTACCAATACATTATGCTTTTAATAGCATGCTTCTTTTTGCATTTTACAAACATACAAGAAACTTGCCATTTTCAGTTTGCTGCCTGTGTACAAGGATCTAAAAATTAAAAAAATGCTGGTAACATAGACTCCCATCAAACTATATATTCTACCGAAACTATAAAAATATATTCTATTAAAACTCTTCTCTATAAAAATATATTCTATTACAAAAAGTCTTACGAATTACACCCATTGCTATAGTGAGTCCGTGTTGCATTCGTATCCGTGTTGCAAAATGAATGAGAAATAGGGGGTACATATATTATGCAAAGGGGCCCTGAAGCTAGATAAAGTAAGGACATGAACGAGGAAAGTAACATTGTCAAAGAAATATTTCATGATGCCTGCAAGTTCAATGCTATTTGATACTGAAACACGCACTGCCTACATGATTTTGCAAGGGTTATCTTTAAGATAGATTTTTCTCAAACAGTACATGAAACGTGCTTTTTATAAAGATTATACAGTACAGGGCGTTTTTGTTCCATGGTCGTTTTACGTTCATTTATTAACCATTTTCAGTTGGAAGGTCCAATTACATTTCAGATGTTATGGCTATATTTCCTTGTTTTTATTAAAGTAATGGAATATATCTACATCCTTCTCAAAATGAGACTAAACAATTATAAACCCTTACAACTATCATGACTATGTTTAGTAATAATTTCGTAAATTATTGTTTGAAGAAACTCAGGACTTAGAATGTAACACAATGTTAGTCTGTTAGATTATGAAATGAAATTATTTGGATGAAACATTTCGTTTAGGTAAATATTAATCACATGAAAAATGGAAAGTAGCTGTAATCAAATGAAGACAACGAATGTGACAACAGTAGTGGATCATCATCATTAGCAGACCATTTGTACAGGAAATGAGTGATTCTACAAAACTGACAGTAAATCAATTACTACTTTGAATTGAAATTACGTATCCCCTCAATTACCAGTAAAAGAGAATTGGATATACGATCAATTGGAACTAGTAGCATGGGGCATGTGACCCATCGGTAATTTGCCTCCTGTGAATACGAAAACAGATAAATAGAAGTATTTTAGTAGTTTTTAAGCAATTCTTAATCAATATATAAGTAATCTCACAGAAATCAACCAAACATTTTAGCCTAAAATAAATTGTTTGTTCTTATTTTCATAATTTTATATTAACTTTCCTATTTTCACCTTTTACTAACTAATATATAATTTTTAAACGTAAAAACTTGTTCTTGATGACGTAATCACACCAAACATCTTTTTCTCAAAACTCTGGAGTCATTCTCAAAGGAGTATTGTTCATGATCAGATATACGGATAGAGAGCGACTAATTTAATGCATGTTGTAAAATATTTTATTCGTTTCTATTCTGCATTATGACAAAACTCTGTGGCCGAACGTTGTCAGCACAATAAATTTCGCGGGCGTACGTATACAAGGACGCACATGAAACATAGCGCATTGTTCATGAGCCTACGCTCCGGCTGTTGCACGCATTGTGTTTAAATTCCATGAATTCTTCTGAAGTCGTGTCCGATATTTGAAGTAATTACTGCGTAAAGGTTGGCGCCCCTCATTCAAACGGTCGCTTTGATGTGTAAACCCTCACATAGTTCAGCGGTGGCCACAGTCCTTTGCGATTTACACCGAACAACCCACTCATTTACACCCGCCCGCGCACAGAAAGCGGTGACAATGGCCGGTGCAGTGCCCGCAACTCCCACGTCGCAGTCTGGTTCGAAGTGCCAAAAAACTGGACCGTTTTGAGAAAATAGAAAATATTCGTTCGAAATTTTTGAATTATTACTTTCTTGCTTAGAATTACGCAGTAGAGAGAAAGTTATGTAATGTTGCGTGAAAAAAAGGAGAATTTTCAGCAGAAAAACTCTTCTTACAGGGCCCGAGTGACGAAAATGTGAATAAATCCAGTTGCTAGATTTAGAAACAAAAATCCTCCAACACGTGGTGAAGCAAGAATCCATGTTTCATGTTTCATGCAAAAAGTTGATTGACGGTAAAACGTCCGTCTGTCCGTCTGTGTCTGCTCGACGCTGTCTGTCCGTCTGTCCGTCTGTCCGTCTGTCCGTCTGTCCGTCTGTCCGTCTGTCCGTCTGTCCGTCTCTCCGTCTCTCCGTCTCTCCGTCTCTCCGTCTGTCTGTCTGTCTGTCTGTCTGTCTGTTTGCCTGTCCGTCTGTTCGTCTTTCTGTACGTCAGTGAACAACGCTACCGGCTTATCAGTTCAGCCGATTTTCCCCAAAATTGACATGCTAAAATCGATCTGGCTTATGACGTCGTCCATTGAATTTGAAACCGATATTAAAATTTTGGGCGTACTATACATTAAGCCCATTACGTCCCTGGGGCAATTAATAATTTAAAAAACTATTTTTCATTAAATTTTGTGGTTAGCTTATGTCAAGGATGTTTAAGAGTAGTAGAGGTCTCATTTTCGTTGAAAACTTGATTTTTCGAAAATTGCAAACATTCCAATTTTTTCAGCGTCTTCCTATTACTACAATTATGAAGATACAGATTTATCGCTTAATAAAACCTGTTTTAAAGATAAATTTGGAAATAAGGTCAGGTACAAATATTCGAAAGTTGGAGTACTTTTCGCGTGATTTTGCTCGAGTAAATAGGTGCTGTTTTAGCACCACTATGTGAAAAGAACATGCGTACAATAATCCAGTAAAGAAAGTTATTGCAACCGTTTTTCTCTCTCTTATCGTCTCCAAAAGTTAATGTTGGTGCGATTGCTTGAATTATTTTTTTTGTCGGCAATATTTGATAAAAAAAGAAACGTTTTAAATATTACTACTGTTGATCTTTTGGTATCTCTGAATAAATGACACTTGGAACACTACGTTTTATATTAATCATATGTGTCTCATTATATTACTCTTTGTATTTGTGAAATCTAACTTGTACCATATAGTAAAAATCGTGTAGAATATTGTAGATTATATTTTTGTTTCTTTTATTACCACTATAAAAAATCGTTCTAATTTATGAAGTAGAATGCCTTTCATCCAAATAACACATTTACTTACACAAATCTGCACCTCTTTGGTTTAGCTTTACTGTAATGCTGCATGCCAAGATTTGATTGCAATCAGCCATTTTGAACATCCATATTACTACGCATGTGCACTTTCCTTATAAGTCTATCCGCCATCAGATGTTATTTTTAAATTTTTAAATAGCAATTTAATATTTAAAATCAGCGACCAGAAAAATCCATAGGTTCGTAATTCTGGGAATTCTATTCGCATGTCCGTGTGTGACCAGTTTTTTTGAGATTGGTACCACGTTGCCGTTTCACCCACGCTGTGTGAATGGGACTGATGCTCGCCAACGAACAGTTTTAGACTGCTTTTGTCGTTTCATTGGAAAACCTTACAATGGCATCAATCTGGCCTTCTGTAATAAGGTGATCAGACATGAAATGTATAAAAAGAGCGTCTTTTTTCATTGAAAACACGTTCATAATTTGAATGGACATTGTTCTGGGTCCTCTTTTATCATTCATGAAAGTATTTGTTGTGCAGGTTTACATTCATATTTCATAACTAGCATAAACATTGTTTTAGTCTCCTCCTGAATCCATTTTTAATCATTGATGATAGTAGGTTTGCGTTTGACCTTTAACGATGGCATTCAACGTTCATAATAATAATCCTTTGACATTGGACGCGTCGCGTTTTGTAAAGGAAGATAAAAAAATATATATATTTTTCAATCCCTAAATTCTGACTGGATTACATCACGAGTTTTTTATCCAAGAATTTCTGTGTCCAGAAATAATAAGACCGGTCTTCTAACATAAGACCAAAACGGTGACAATATAAAGACATTAGCCAAAATATTTGTGTCCCATGCCCTGTTAACGTCGTTATTTTCGTGGACTGTTACGATGAAGATAGCTCATCTCTTTAGAAAAGAGAAAAGAATAGTATTTTTTGAATGTGAGAAAAATACGGATCTTATAGTTTTCAGAAATCGTGAAGATGAGGAAGTACTTCATTTCACATAATTAGTATTCGGAGGACTTATTAGTATGCATAAGCTGACAAACACAGATTTTTACAGGGGTTTAATTAAAAAATAGTCGAGTACATATGTAGAGGGCGACGTCGCAATCTGAAATAATTGTCAACAACTACCGGTTCATAGAAAGTTTCCCATGTATTTCTTCTATTAAAAATTGTATTAATTAATTTTACTTGTAGAATAAATCCTTAAGGGGTGATAGCAACTATTCATTGATATCCTAGACTTAGTTGTCGAGAACGGAGATGCTACATTTGTTTAATGATTTTGAACCTTGCAATCCGGAGATTCCAGAACCGTAATTATTCTCCCACACACCGCGCCCGGACCTGTATCTTATTTACTTAATCTTCATAACCTCTGATACAATCAAACACGCAATATTCGATTTCCTTTCATTCTTCAGTGTAAAGGGTTAAGGCTAAGAATGATTGGTGGACTAAAGTCGACTAACCCCCTTAAAAAGAACTCAAGAGTGGTTTTGCGACCTACCTCAGATGCTTAGGTACCTAGTCATCCGGTGATTCCGTAAAACTGTTTCTCCTCCCACACATCGCGAATATGAATCTTCATCCTATTCGAATCACTTTCATCACTGCTGGTACCATTTCTCTTAAAAAAGAGAAAATTTATATTTCAGCACGAAGATTTAAGGCTGGGTTTGATTAATAAACCAGGGCCGGGCCGGCCTGGGTAGGCGAGTTCAGTAAGGCTGAAAGTCGTAGCTGCATCGGCTGGAAGGGTCGCTGGTTTGAATCCCGTCTCGAGCATGGTTGTTTTTTGTTATCCTTACGTGTTCTTTCTAGAGCTCCCCCTAGAGTTAAAGCAATCGCGTGTCGCTATATGACCGTTGTTGAAAAGTGACCTCCAAAAGTAGAGTCGAATACCCAACCTAAACGTCGCTTGAAATATAGAATAGCGGCATATCCCATTTTCTTTGGTACCTAATAATCGGGTGATTACACCGGGAGATATGGTATCAGGG